AAAAAAAAAAAAAGCAGATAAATCAGAGAAAAAGGGGAGGAAAAGGTAGAAAGTATCTGCAAAAGTATCATATTCAATATTCTAGTGCATATTAATGGATGACAAGGTTCCAGGTCATATGGAGATTTCAACAGACTAACAGGCAGATTCTTTCTGATTAAAGCTTCAAATACAAGTAATTTTCTATTCAAGGAGAAAAAACTGCAGCTTTACATTTTAAGAGTGTGAAAAAGAAATCCTATAGACAACAACTTCATTTTTCCTTTTTTTCCTTTTTTTACCTGCTGCAGACAACTTATGCTCCTTTCCATGAAAGATTTTGTTGGTGATACATATACTAGAAGAGTGAAAAGAACATAATAATTAAAGCCAATTTGGCATTTATGGTTGTTTTAATATTGTCTAGTCGTAGAACATTCAAAGAGATAACAACATTCTGAAAATAAAGCTTAGCATCCTTTGCCCATGATGTAGTTTCATATAACCTTAGAGGCTTAAAATGGGTTGAATGTGGTTAATGTCATCAGGAAGTGACATTAAAAGAAATAAAAATCTGAAGAAGGAAATAGATTAGGAGGATTGATATTTGGGATGCAAGAAAACAGTTATAATGTAGATGCTTAAGAGTCAATTACCTCTGGCTTGAGATCACGGTGAACCACACCTTGTAAGTGACAAAAAGCTACCACACTTATGATCTGCACCATAACAGCCCTAGCATCTTCTTCTGAGTATTTTCCACCCCTACACAACACACACCAAAATTAATCCAGATGTAGGGGTGTTAAAATGGCCATCAATTTAACATGAAAGGAAATGACATGACGGATACCTTGAAAGTATTCTATCTAACAGTTCACCACCTTTGCACAACCTGGAAATCATTCAAAGTAAGGGTAAGCTCCAGCCGTTTAAAACACTAGCTGCAGCTTCCAATGCTTAGTTTAAAATTAATTTACAAGTGTTAAACTGCAGAATGGGTTCCTCATGTGAAAAATTGAGAGAAAGAACAAGAGAGAAAGGGAAGGAGAAAAACTAAGTGCAGGATAGATTGACAAATTCAACATCAGATGCCCATGTACATTCAGTTTTTCATAAAATGCTAGCATCTATGAAAAGTTTGATATGTGCCAAGAATGCCATTTAATCAATGAATAGATTACAAGAAAATAAGAGCTATCTTAAGAAAATCCAATCCATTATATTAACAAATTAAGTTCAGAATCTTAAACTTACTCCATTACTATATAAACATTGTCATCATCTTCATAGGCATCATAGAACTGCACTAAGTTCTTATGACCAGTTAAAGCCCTTAATATCTTTACTTCCCGTCTTACATCCTCTATGGCAATTGCTGTAGTCATCTGTCCATCAAAAATACTTTAGTCAGAATAAACCAACAATTCATGGGAACACCACTAACAACTAAAAACTTCATTATTGCTGTCATCAGGCCCAATAATCTGGAGGAGAAAAAAGGTTCTTCAATGATCATTTTCTAGTAAGAAAAGAACACAATGATCATACTGTTAGAATCCAACCTATACATCATGCCAGTTAATTAAATATACAATACAACCAAAGGGTATTACATCAACATTTGACCACTTATTGATGAAGTGACAATTGATAAATACTGAAGTTCTTTAATCACTTGAAATAAAGTAGAATCTGCAATAAATCCAGTACAGTCTCACATCTAAAGATGTTTACAGACATCTTTTAAGTCAATAAACACTTCGAGTCGCCAATTATAACTTCAAAATAACATTCTTAAAAAGTCATCCTAGTATCCCCTCTGATTCCAATGCATCAAGCAGTATGCTCGATAGATCATAATCCAAATTTGAAACATTGGGCAAGAATTTCATTCCCTGCAGATGCTATTAACTATTTTTGAGAAAGTTGGGAAGATATTAGTTCAAAAGTAACAAAATACAGATTAAGAAGATACAGCTAAAAGAGATGAAACCGTCCAAACTCCAAGGGATATAGTCAGCAATAAAGCATCTGAAAAAGGATCACAGATACAAAATTGACAGATCATAAGAACTATCATTAGTGAAAAATGGACCTTGGATTTTGGAATGACTTTGACTGCTACTTCCTGGTGCTTCAGGCTTCCTTTCTTGCCCTTGGCCAAGCAAGTATACCCAAAATGCCCGCGTCCCACCTCCTCACCAAGCTCATAATGAGAAGCAAAGTGCTTCGAGAACCCGAAATTTTTATCCAAACCAATCTCACACTCACTTCCCTCAGGAATTGAGGCTTCGTTGGGCTTAATAGAGCCATGCCTTCTGGCAAGCAGTGCCCGGATATGCTTTGCCGGAGAAGGAGGTGGAAATGGCCGCTTGAAGATCCGCAGAGGAGTAGAATTCACGCTTGGTACCGCCGGTGAGTTCTTGAAAAGGCTTGGCAGTGGACTCGGGCTGTAAAAGGGGAAGGTTGAAGAGGATTTGGAGGTGCGGGAATTTGGGGGTGGATCATTTTCACTGGGAACAGAGAGGTCTCTGGTTTGGTTCTGTTGAAACTCAATGGGTTTTGCATGACAGAGTCCCATGGAACCAGAATTCCAGAGAAGGAAAGCTTCAAGAATTCACAGAAGAACCCAAAAATTGAAAGAAATCAATCAAAAACAACTAAAAAAGTTCAAGAATTTAAACAATATGGAGGGAAAAGAAAGAAACCCAATTCAACTAACAGAATTTACTTGCTACCCTCTAACTGAGTTTCACAGTTTGATCAAGGAAACCCAGAAAGGATCAGCCTTCACAATTTCACAGAAACCCAAATTCCAAAGAAAAAAATATTCCCAAGAAGAAGGATCAATCTGATAAACCAACTGAGAAAAGCATTTCGACTTTCCTGATCATACAAAAACAATGTGCCAGATGGAAAGAGAAAGACTCAAGAAACAAGAAGCACAATCTGGGTGATGCAAGGGAAGAATGAAGAACAAGGAACCCTAAAGATTGAAAATTTACTCCACCTAGAGGGGAAGGAAAGAATAATAAGAGGGCAAAAGAACAGAGAAATGAAAAAGGAAAGTAAGGTAAAGATGCTAAGCAGAGACAGCAAGAAAAGGAAGGAAAAGGATGAGATGGAACCCAACACTTCTTTTTTTATTTCCGCTTTTGTTAAGCTTTTCTGTTAAGAGATTGAACATTGAAATTTTTCCAAAAAAAAAAAAATCAATTTACGTAAGAAAAATATAAAAATATTCCTAATAAATCTTTAAAATTTTTAAATTTATTAACAGGAAAATAAAAAATAAAAAAATTTAAATTTTATATAATTTTAAGTGTCATTTAAATGATTAATTTTTTATTTATTTAAAATCTATAATATTAAATACATACACTTATTTAATGATATATAAAAATTCTATTAAAAAATAATACAAAAAAATTATCTCTATATCACTATCAATCTATAAAATACTAATAATTTATTTTAAAATGACTCATGATATTAAGGAGAGCTTCT